ATTATCAATTTCTATATAAATCTTATTGTACCACCAAAATCATATGACAAAATGATCTACATACCCCCTACCCTTAAAAAATAAATCCAATAATGGAAAGTAAGTATTGTAATCTATATTTTTTCACACTTAATAGTTGCTTTATTTATTTTACTTTGTTCTAATTTCTATTAAGTGTTTTCTTATAAGGAAGTGATCTATCTTAATTTTTTCCAAACAATATTAATAACGATGACTTCATGGAAAATCTTCAAACTTACTTATTACTTTTTTCTAATAAAATTGATATAGTGAAATGTAATAACAATTTTAATGAACAAACTTGGGGTCAAAATTTCTTTGTAGCACCACCTCAAGAAAGTATAAATATGATATCTCAAGAAAGTAAGGATGTGAAATTTCAGGAAAGTAGAGACATGGAATTTCAGAAAAGTAAGGACATGGAATTTCAGGAAAGTAGGAACGTGGAATTTCAGGAAAGTAGGAATGTAGATTATCAAAAGAGTATAAATGTAAATTCTTTATAAAACTTCCTCATAAAAGTATGAATATAGTAGTTTGAGGAAGTAAAAATATAAAATTTCAGAAAAGTAAGAATATAGATTATCAAGAAAGAATAAACATAGAATCTTGAAGTATGAATGTGAAATCTCAGAATATAAAATCTCAAGAAGGTATGGATATGGAATCTCAATACGTAGAACCTCAAGGAAGTATGGATGTAAAATCTCAAGAAGGTATAGATGTAGAATTTCAAGAAAGTATAGATGTAGAATCTCAGAACATAGAACCTCAAGAAATTATAGACACAGGAAGTTCTCAAAAAGAAACAGAACTAGAAGATACTGTTCTTATTAATGTTGGTAACACATTTACTTCATGGGAAATAGCTAAACCGTGACTTAATCAATATGCAAAGTCAGCTGAATTCTGTATATGCCAGAAACAAGTTGAAGTTGGTCAAGATGAAATAGTTCATAGATGAATATTTGAATGTAGTTTTTTTGGTGAAGCTGTTTCAAATCAAGTAATTGATCCAACTCGCTAGTGTCATCACCCATCTAGAAAAATTAGATGCTCATAGCACATAAATTTAAGCAAGCCTAAAGGCTTGTCAAAAATTGGCATTACAAATATTGTTGGACAACACAACCATTCTATATTATCCAATATAACTCTATATGCACCAAATATCGCAGGTTGTCAGATGATATATTGGAGCAGATTAAGTTTTAGGTAACCAAAGGAAACTTGGGATTAAAGCAAATATATCCTTTAATAGTTGTATGCTTCCCAGATCAGTTAATTTACAAGCAAGGCATTTATAATGCTATTTATAGTTTTAAAGCACCTCTTATTAAGTGCCAAGGAGATGCTCAAAATATGATTAACAAGTTACTTGAGTTACAAGACCAAGAGACAGGTTGGATAATTAAAACAAGACTTGATCCTTTTGATAATCAACTTATAGGTTTGTTTTGGATATCACCTCGTCAATAGCAATGTTTTTTACAATACAATGATGTAATACAAACTGACAATACAAGTCAAACCAATTGGTTTAATATATATTTAATACTTCTTGTTATTATTGATAACAATACTAAAAGTCAACTTGTCACACAATGTTTATCAGATGATGAAACAACTGAAAGTTATGAGTGGTTTTTTGATTGTGTCCTTCAAGCAACAAATAATATTCTGCCAGTTTGCATATTTTCTAACACTGATCCTGCTCTATCAAATGCAATAGTATTATAAATGCCTACCATTTAACATTTTCTTTGTATTTTCCATATGCAAGAAAATTTATACAAGAATTATGAAGTAAATTGGGCAAAGATTATGATACATTTTATAAGGAATTTTTATTGTACGGGTCTTATATGACAACCCATGCTTTTTTTACTTATTGGCACAGGATTGTTACATCAGACACTATACAATAAGATAGTTATTGTATAGTATGTTGAATAACCCAGTTACACACACGGGTTCATATTTAATCTTGTGCCTTCAGCACGAAATATGAACCCATGTATAATTGGGTTATTCATTATATACCCATACAATAACTATAATTTACATGCTCAAAATAGCTTATTCGAATATGATTTTCATCAACATTGAACATATTTATTAGAAAAGTATTCTTAGACTCAAGATTATCTCAATAATATATTACAAAATTGTTATAGATCATGGGCAAAATGTTTTTAAATTAAAGTTTTTATAACCAGTATACAAAGTACACAAAGAGTTGAAGTAATGAATAGAGTAATTAAAGATGATATAAGTAATACATTATCTTTGTGCAATATGCATGACATAATTCAAAGACTGTTAGATAATAAAGCCAAGTGGGATTGGCATAACTCTTATCTTCAAAGTCTTTTAGTCAACCAAGCACCTTCTATTATAGAGCTTGTATTTTCTGAAGTACTCAAATTGCTTAAAAAAATTTTACCTTTACATATTCTATCTATTCAATGTTAGCAAATACTTGGATCCTTACTTTATCATGCAAGATTAATTTCTAAAGAGATGATTAGTATTATACAAGAAGTAAGCTATAGTAAAAATAATACTACAATCATACTAGTTTTTTTTTTTTTTTTTTTTTTTTTTTTTTTTTAGGAACCTGATCAAGTTGATTGTGATATTGAGTTTCTTGAGAATTACCTTGATAGATCACAAACTACTCTTCATTCTCTTATGGATAAAATTACACCCACCTGACATTTTAGAGATATGGAAGCTTTTTGGACTTACACAATCATATAAGTATTATGTTATTTTATTAACTAATGGAGGGCATTTATGCACTTGTTTAGCTATCATTAATCATAGATTTATATATGCACATTTTTTTCATATTATGACAAATTCAAGAACTGCAAAGTTTAATATTAGGCTTATAGCCAAACGATGGTATTTAGAAAGTGTTTGTAATCAAAATATTGAACAAAATTTATATGAGACTGTTGAAATAGCAATACAGCTTAACCAAAGTAATACTAGTACCTGATTTGCATATATTCAATTGGTTTAGAACATCATATACATTTACAACTAAAATTAAGGAATATGTACAAAAGAAAGTTAAGTATGCTTATAGCTTTGGAAAGATAAAAGCAGCACTTAATTTAGCACTTAATATGAGTTGTAAAGATGAGTTAATTTGTATGATAAATGGGTTTATTGATCGGAAAAAAAACAATAATAGTGAAAATAATGAAAATGAAAATTTGCATATATTAGATTCTTTAGTTTATAAGCAATAAGGATGTTCGCTAGATACACGTATTAAGTTATTAACAGAGAATCAATCACAAAATATTAGCATTAGAAATAGTGCAATTAATCTGATTGGTCCAAATTTATATATCCATAATAATAGTAGAAATACTGCAGTAAAAACTCCACTTAATACTCTTATCAGTAATTCTAATGAAATTGATAATAATATTTCAACTGGATCAACTCAAGGCATGAAGAAGAATGTTACTAAACAGAAGTATTTATGTAATATGTGTGGGAACCCTGGTTATAATGCTTGAAAGTGTAAAAATAAGCCTAAAGGATAATCTTATATATATATGTACATATGTAGTATGTATAACAATGTACATATGTATCACTTTAACTGTATACAATTTTACTATTAGAGGTATTTAAATTGTATAACAATAATAATGATGCTAATCAAAGTTTAAAGCTCAAATATAGTTAGTAAAATTTGTGTAATGTACTTTTAGTACAGTATCTTAGAATTATATAAGCACATATAATATATTATTATAGTGTATTTTTACACTACTCTAAAATTTATAGCACGTATATACGATACAAATATTTTTAACTTTTATTATAAATATTTAACTTGTCCAAATTCACTCCCGGGTCAGTTGTCTTTACTATTGATTAGAAATTCTCATAATGTTGCTTATAATTTAAAATTATTTTATGAAACATGTTAACTAAAATATAGTAATATCTGTGAAATTATGCTTACTAGAAGTAGATATATCATTCTCTCATGGCCAGAATATTTTAAAAAATTTATGCTTTCGACATGTGTAAAAAGGTTGACAAAAAATGGGTTTGACACAATAACTATTAGTTTTTATTTTAGTATGTGCATTATGTGATTAACATGTAATTTAGTATTCTTAATTTGGCCAAAAAGTAGAATTGATGCTAATCTATTTATTAGCTACTATATATAGATAAGTGTTGAGAAACTTCATATTGAGTACATAGTTCTGGGTTTCTTTAGTTATTGTAGTACTATATACTAACCTCAAATCAATAAGATTCTTTAGAGTTAAAGTAAAAATTTATATTAAGTAGGTATTAGCTGATGCAAATTTTAAATGTATGAATGTATATATATACAACACATCATCATACCTAATACTAAAAATTTTAATAATTAGATGGTTATGATAGTTATATGATAGTTATACATAGATAGTTACATGTATAGTTATATGGATAGTTATCATAAAGAGCTGTATATAGTATTCAGTGTGATAAATAATATAATCAATTTTTAAAATATTATTTATATATGCCATGTAATGTAAACAATTGTGTAATGCTCATGATTTTTAATTTTTCACTATGTAAAAATCATATCACACCGGGTACTATATACAGTGCTCTATGGTACATCATAATAGTTACATGAATAGTTACATGCTACAGTAAAACCTCTATAAGTACACACCCTTGAGACCAAGCTTTAACAATATGTATTTAGAGAACAATAAGAAAAAGTGCATTTATAGAGGGCATGTATACATTTGGGCCAGAACTTAAGCATGTATTTAAAAAGGGTGTGCACTTATAGAGGGTGCACTTATAAAGGTTTTACTGTAGTATATAGTTACATAACAGTTGTACAAATTAGTTGCATTATAGTTACATAATATTTATATTTATATTATATAATAGTAGTGATTATCACTACCGGTTATGGTTAGAAATATTCTTTCCATAAAATAAAGTTAATTTGGATAAATTTGGAAGTATAATGAAAAGTGCAAAAAAAAGACAAAGAAAGTTGTAAAGAGTAAGTAAAAGAGAGTTAAAATGGTTTGAAGAGTAACTTCATCAATTTTGATGTTACAGAGATGAAATATAGCTTGTTATGACCAGAAAAGTGTGAAGAACAACTTTTAATAGACATAGTGCAGAGGTTTAGAATCAGATTAAAGAGTAAAAAGCAAAAGTTTAAAATTTTTCCTTAAAGGCTAGCTTTGTTAATTTTAAAGCTACAGAGATGAAATATAGCTTGTTATGGTGAGAAAGTGTATAGAACAACTTTTAATAGATGTAGTGCAGAGATTTAGAATCAGGTTAAAAAGTAAATAGCAAAAGTTTGAATTTTTTGCTTAAAAAATATTTTAGGACTTTACTTTATGAATATAGTAGTAATCACTTTACAAATATAATAAAATCAATTTTCATATATTTTTACTATTTAATTTGTCTAGGTTATACAAAATTTGTCAAGATTATACAATATAAATAACATATAATCATTTCCTGATTTCAATTAAATGTTATTATAATAAAATTAGTAATATAATTGCTATTAAAATATAGATCGCTTTACTCTCTACCCTTAATGAGTATTATAAACTTTTTTATAGTTCTTGAAATAGTTTGTTTGAGGTTTGATTTTAAGTATCACTAAGCATAATTTGTTGAATTTCTTAGACTATTTTCCAAAGCATCCTAATATGTACTTGAAATGCTTTATCTTATATGTTATAGTTGGGCAGTCTGTTATACACAGATACAATTTACTGCTAGTATTCAAAGTATCCAGTATATTAAAGATATAAATGCAATTATTAAAAAAGCAGCTTCACATAGTTTAACATTACTATAGTTAATTGATTCTATACAAAGCTATCTAGATAAAAAATCACAATATGCACAAATAAATGATCGGAAAAATATAAATCCTTCTATTGGCTTGCTTTATATCACAAGCTAATGTTTTCTACTATTAATCAACTAATTCAAAAATATTTAACTAGAAATAATTTTTTCTCTTCAATAGCAGTAACTTTCAGAAAGCTTTCTTTATAATGCCACTAAAATATTTTGTAAGTGGGATAAATTTCTTCTAAAACCAAAAAATATTATTAAAAATAAATATCTAAAAGATAATTATAAAAGATGTCAAACTGGTTTTACAATCTTTACAGTATAAAGATATTTTTTAAATTTGGACTATAGTACTACAAGAACTATTTCTAAGTCACTTTATCTATCATCCTATAATACTTATAGATGGTACATATTTATATACCTGTTTTACTTTAATTAGTAAAAAATTGCTTGCTGTTATTTTATAAAAGTTTTAATAAAATCATATTTTACACTTTCTTGATATCAATATGCTAATATAAATATATTAAGATTAATAAAGATAGGAAGCTTGTTATTTTATTCATCTATTAAATTAGTATTGGTATCCATTTAACTAAATATTCGGATACTTAATTTAATTTGTGGATGCTAAATCTGGATATCTATCAAAATATCAGATGCATCCGGATAATCATCCAGATAGTTATATAATATCATGAGTGCTAAAAAATTAGCTGCTTCTTTCTATATCTAATATAAATACTATTAATTAAAAATTATTTTAAAAATAATTATAACCAATTAAAGCAGTTTTCATTCCAATTGAGACAGCTGATAAAAAATTGATTGAATAATTATATACCAGCTTGTTAAGTTTTTGATTTTATGACTGATCACGATTTTTTATCAGTTATAGTTAGAATAAAAACTATATAATAATGAAATAATGTACTTTGTAAAAGATGTGATTTCATAAGAGAATTTTTACAATAACTTATGGAATATTAAATTGTATAAATCTAATAAGGATAATATCTTTTATACTATTGATTTTTAATATTTATCTTATTTTCATATATACTTCTATTTTGCAACAATCTGTTAGTAAGAAATCACATTGGTCTAAGAAGTATAAAGCATTAAAAAGGTACTAAATTTAATAATAAATTTTTTAAAATTATAAAAATATTATTTCATTCAAGAAATGTAAATTAGAAAATTTGAAAGAAAATAATGTAGGTAATAAAATTGAATATTAACTAACTATTGCTAATCTATTTGTAACTATGTATTATAAAAGGCTATCTAAATAAATTAAGGTGTATTAGAGCAAGCTGCAAATAAAAATAGTTATAGTTCTAGTAATACAAATATAAATGATAATAAGGTACAAAAAAGAAATAAAAAAAATGTACTAAGTGCAGAAATTCTAAACATAATATTCGAACTTGTACTAATATAAACTAAAAATACAATTAATACTATAAATAGTTTGTTATTTTTATTTTGTTCAAATTTTATAATTTTTTGTTTTATTAGTTATATTTGTTTTTAATGCTATTAATTTGTTGTTTTACTAATGTTATAAAAGTACAAATTAATTATGAAATTTATTTTATCAATAGCTTTTACTTTGGTCTTATTAACATTAAGCTTTATTTAATTAATAATTATTTATATATCTAATTGAATTCTTATAAAGATTATAATAGTGGGACTATAATTTAAAATTTTGTTTAATAGGTGTATACAATTTGGTATATATATATTTATCTTATAACAATTAGCAGGGTTGAAGTTCGTTTTTATTGGTTATGTAATTTGATGATCACTAATTATTAGATCAAATGTGATTGGCTGACAGGTAGAAATTCAGTAAATTTCATTAAGTAAAAAAATTGAAACGTTGTATTAGGCTATTTATTAATAAAAAAAAAAAACTTTAAAAACATATATTTTCAGCACTTCTCTATCATATGAACTTCCTGGATCTTTTTGGATCTTAATAGCTTGGTAATTTTATTAATATAAAGTTTACTAACTAGAAACTGCTACAAGTGCATTTGTAAAGTTACAATTAACCTTTTCTGCTTTTTCTATTTCTAGTTTTTCTGTAAAATCGTCCTCTTCTACTTGCATAATTTTTTCTTCTTCTTCTTGCCTTTCTTTTTGGATAAGAGTATTTGAACCTTTTTTTAACCGTTTAATGAACATTTTTGTATTGTAATAAAATGTCTTTTTTAAAATATTCTTCACAATATTTGCAACCATAATGTAATATACTATCTCTTAAGCTGTAGAGTTTGTGTAACAATTTTAGCTTAAAAATAGCATAAATTTAGTTATGATCTATTTTTTTTAATAT